TTATGAAGCAAGGTTAACATTTTTACTTGATTCAGTAGAATATTATAAACTCTCCGGGGTCCATTTGAGGACTTTCTACTTTGTGCAAAAGGAACAGACTCAGCACTTTTTATATTATTTAGAGAATAAAATTAACCCTTGACGGCCCAGGCTGGGTATTTCCTCTCCCCAGTTAAATATGGCATGCTCAGCAATTCCCCCCCCACCCCCCATATAATTACAGGCTGCTATCCATCATCTGTAGGAGAATGCTTTTCTGACACTCCAAAAGTGATGCGGTAAGCACGTTCACTAATAGAATAAATATTCTAAATATCTCTTTTATATTTTCATTTAAATTGGAATATTTTAAAATAATTGTACACATGCTAGCTGGGTGCCTTGTACCAGGGCTGTAGAAAGGCAACCCAATTACGCTGCTTTCATTTAGGAGGACACTCTCCTGCCACACAAGTGGACACTGCTTGGGCTCAGCTGCAAAACGTCGTTAGCAGAGGGTAATCTGCTGGCCGGTCTTGATGCCAACCCCCACCTCCTGGAGGCTCCTCCTCCTGCAACTCCAGCTGTCAGTCATCCTCCTGCTAGCTTCCAATGGATCTCCCCTGAAATTCTAAACGTGTTGCCCCTCTCGAGAACCCCAATGTGGACAACCTGCAGCTAGATGCCCAAAGCCCGGAGTGTGGTCCCTCTCAAAAAGTTGCTGATTTTGCTGTGACAGGGGGAGGAAATGATTAAAACCATAAGAACTGCAGCAGGCTCCAGTGTGGGTGGGTCAACCAGAAGGCTTCTTGGGGTGGCCACCTCTGCCTCCAGGGGGCAGGGCTTGTCAATCAAAGCAGCCAGCCTGCAGAGGCACCCATCGTTCTCTCGGGTGTTCTGGGCTGGGCTGCTTAGTTCAAAAGAGATGCTGGGAGCACAGGATCCTGGTCAGCAGGACCTTCCAGAACAACAGGCACCTCACATCTTTTCTCGGATTCTGCACAGCTGCTCTTTAAGGATAGTCAGACCCTTCTAGTTTTGTGAGAGGAGAAGACATCTTCCTGTTCATCTTCACTCAACCTCCTCTACTGGCAGCCAGTGGACATCTGTTCACTTCTGTTATCCCCTTGGCTCTGCTGTTTCTCAGCCCAGCCATTCCCCAACTCAGAAAGATCACGGCCTGTCCCAATACTGTGCTTGTGGGCAACTTTTTCCTGACATCAACCCGAGCCATGGCTGACATGCCGACACAGCAAGGTTTCTCCTTCCCCAGTAACTGAATGCTCCCCCCTCTCCTTCTTCACATATACCTGAAGACAGTCAGCACTAACTAAAGGATGGTGGAGTTGGCCCACTCAACTCTGATTTTAATTAACTCAGCAACTGGGCCCTTCTGAAGCATTAACTATACGTGAATGCCACATCTGCTGGAAGGAGGTTGTTACAAGGACTCTGGAGTGCCACTGGATCTATCTGGCAATTTCAGCTTCTCGGCCGGGGAAAGAGAGCGCCTTTCTGGGTGCAGCCTGGAGTGAACGTTTCGTGCGCTTCTCATCTTCAGAACCGGGAACCAGGATTGGTCTCATTTAGGGGGATCAGGGCTTGCTGGGATGGAGTGGAAGGGAAAATAAAGTGGAGCGGAGGCTTTATCCAGAAGGTATCCGTCCTTCTTAAAGAGGCCCTGATTCTCCTGGGTCTCCTTCAGCAGAATGGATTGCTTTCCTTTGCCCCCCAAACCATCCTGCGTTTCTGTGAATGAAATTATGACGACGTTAACCCCTGGGGGTTTGCCTGGATGCCAAAGTAAGGCATCATCTCTTGGCCAGATTTAAATCTGGTGCTTGGAAGCTTTCAGGAGGAGACACAGTAAAAAATGAGGGCTCGTGCAGCGCAGCATCTGAGGGAGCGAGTAATGAGGTCCCTGCTTGAGCTCCCCTTTGTACTAACGGCCTTGGCAGGCCTTACAATATTGTTGTCTCCAGAAGTCGTGCAATGCGATGCGGTGATGAAGGTGCTGAGCTCCAGCCTAGGGGGTCTGATCTCCCCCTACTGCAAGGATCGTGCCGGGTAATCCACACTCGGGGGGGGGGGGAGAACAGGATACAAATGGACTGTGCGGGATAGTAAACATGCACGGTAATTATTTACTGCATTTTTACTTTCTCTTTAGTCACCCATGTTCCCAGAGCCATTTACCAGTCCAGATAAGGGTCAGACGCATCCGTCCTCAGACAGCGCTTGGTTCAACGGTAAACAAGAGCCGTGGATCGCATGACCCGCTCAAAGGAGGGCATGATTTAATCGTATCGGCAGCACTCCCAGATCTGCCCTGTACCGGTTCGCCATCCACGTACAAAATGTGCTCCCACCTTGTGGGCAGTGGAACGCGGCCGGGAGGCTGTGTCTTGCCCAAAGGCACCGAGGGTTACTGAAGCCGATCAGTTAAACTCGAGAGTTAGTCACTGGGCTACCCCCGCCTGTCCTCAGGAAGCGCTGCAGGGCTTATCTCTGATTTCAGGGGCTGTTTATTTATAACGGTTTTAGCCTGCTTTTCGTTAAAAGTAATCCCAAACTAGACGCAATTAAGCAGGGTAACACCATAAAGACTGCCGTTGCAATGATGGCTGCAGTGTTGTCAAGAACACAAGAGCAACCCAACCCTGGGTAAATAAACAGCCTGTCAGCTGGTGCAGAAAAGCGACAGGACATGGCACCAACCACAGAGGAACAGAGAGGAAGGCCTGTGCCGAGAACATTCTCTCAGGTTGCCACACAGCCTGCCTTGAAGGGCACATCCTTGCTCGATCCTGCTTGTCTCTCCATGAGGTATACAGCTCTGCGTATCAGCGTAAGTTGGCCGGTGGTGTTCTCCACCACGAGTCCTTCAGCCAGAGTGCAGGAACCACATGCAGTAACGTGCTGGGAGCGCTGCCTTCCCTCCGTGAGTAGGAAAAGGTCAAAACAGCTTCTTCCTTGCCCACAAGAGCTGTCAGCGGCTTCCAGGGAGGACACATGGCCTCCCTGGGTCTGCTTCCCTGCCATATGTCAGGGCTGCAGTATTGTGCCAGCTAACTGCTTAAAACCGATTTTTAAAAATGCCCGTTTTTAAAGTTGTCTACTTTTAATACAAATACTTGAAAAAGCAAAGAGGCAGTGGGTAATGGTACGTGGAAAAGACCTTGGGAGACGGGGCCAAGAGATGCTGTCAAGGGAATGGTCAGATAAGAGACGGCATAGCCCACACCTGGATAGTGGGTGGGGCGAGAGGCTCAGAAGCCCCCTCCCTAGTTTCTTGGGCTGTAAAGGTGAAGGGGGAGAGATGTGCTTTCAGGCTTGCAAGATTCTGTTAATGTAGCCATACAATAAAGTAGAATTAGCTGATCTGGTTGTGTTTCCTGCCTGATTTACCTGGTAAGGCTGACACAGTGCCATCTCACCTGTCCAAGAGAGCCAGAAGCCCCTGTGCACTGCGTCACCCAAAGAGGCTGATTGTCAAAGCTCTGAAGCAACCCAGCTCCTGACTAGCCTAGAAGCTTTCCCGGAAGGCAAGCGGCCCAACCTGGGAGAGCCTTCAGAGGGTCACGCTTGCCTGGCAAACCCCTCCACCAAACGATTCCGGAATTCTACTCTAAGGTCTCCCCAGGGTTAGACAAGCCCCTGATTAAAGTGGCCCACATGTTGGAGACCCTAAAGGAGATGTTTTTACTGCTGTTTTTATCCTACTGCTTGGGAATTTTGCTGGCATTATTGATGGAATGTAAACCACTCCAGTCATGGTATATGTGAGAGTGGAATACAATCCAATAAATTGTCCCAATAATATTCGTTTATTCATATTAGTTAGAAACTCATACAATTCCCAGCAATTTCTTTAGTTGTGGGATAATGTAGCCTGTTGGGGCAAAGGCCATCCTGGGAGATACCACCATCAGCTTTTGTTCACCAACTAAAAGAAGGCAAACTGTACCTTCCAGCCAAAATCATATCCTTTCCTGAATGTAAAGAATACGCTGTTCTCAGCATATTCATTTCATTTATCGTGCAAGTGTATTCCACAGACTTCACAAGGATCCACTGGTGTATGACATGCCTTTTCTCAAGCTGAAGAGAGGCAAATTCAACCATCCAATAATGCAACAGGCACTCTTGTCTATTCCTCTCACCAGACTAATATATCAGCTGCTTAAATCCACAGGGGTGTAGATCTAAGAAAACTGATGTCATTCTAATGTTCTTCCAGACAAAAATCCACAGAATGTGGCTATCAGTGGCTGTTAATTGTGATGACTCTGCATGACCTCCAGCATCAGCCGCAGTTGCTCTTGAGTTTCGCTCACTGGGGACACGATCAGAGGAGGGGGTGCCCTCGTATTTGATGACACACAGCCCTTCAGTCATAATGGCTCCTAATGTTGTTTATCATAAATGAAAACAATCCCATTCAAACAATCCAAGTCTAAAAAGAAAATCAAACTACTAACACTTGATGCCCAAATCCAAGAGCAGCAACAGACAGAAAGTGGTCATGGAAGAAAAGAGTTCTTTTAATCATAGTGAGACGAAGTAGAAATTCTAAACTCAGAAGTAGAAAAACAAGAGGGGACTGCTCCCCTCATGTCCTGGCTCTATGCCTTCCGTCGGGGCCTTGTTTATCATTGTGAGACGAGAATGTTTGACTACGTAGGCCCCTGCTTAGACTCCTACAGTTCAATTACACCTTCACACACCCACATTCACTGAAACAACATTATGAGCACCAGAGATTGTAGCCCTGCTGAGCGCTCTTTTTTTGCATCAGCTTGGAATACAGAAATGGGTCTCCGGACCACCTGACATGCTGAGGAAACCTACTAACTGAAGGGGCCTCCTTCCCCGATTTAGTCACAATCTGGAGATGGCAGAGGGGAGATCACGTTCTATACCGCAGGCTGGTTCAAGGAAAAGAGCTCTACAGCCTTGGCCCTTGCAAGGAGAGGGATTACAAGCTGAGACCGAGCTGGATCCGTGGCCCCTGCCCTCACCTTCTCTCCTAAGGGACAGTAGCCCTTCAGGAAGTCGGAGCAGACCTCTGCTTTCCTGGACACATAGACGTGGCTGTACGGACAGTCGCTGTTGTTGCAGATTCCCTTCAGGAAATAGGAACAGACAGGCATCTGGAAGGGGGAAGCAAAGAGAGAAAAGGATTGAGTGAGGACCTTTGGCAAATCAGAAAAAAACCCCTCCCCCTTCTAAAGAAAACAGACCCTTTGTTTGCCCCAGACTTTGCCATGCTGACTGGCGCTGACAGGAGTTCTGGTTCAGCTGATCTGAGAGTGCTGGGCCAAGAAAAACTGCATTAGACTTGCTCCAAAGCTGGTCTAAAGTATTTAGACGACTAACCGAGCCACTCGTGGAAGGGGGTGTCAAGAAGGGGCACGCAAGTCCTGTTCCCTTTGTTTGTGTGTCATGTTGCTGCAGACACTCTGAAGCTTGCAGTGCCTCCTCCCAATGGCCCAGGGAAGTTGGCCACTGCTCTTCACACTTTGCAGAAAGGCCAAAAGAACAGTCAAGGCCTATCCTGGTCTGCCATTTGGTTTCTCATGGCAGCCAGCCAAGGGCTTCTCAGGGGCTTGCAAGCAGGAGACAGAGACACGCCCTTCCATGGCCCTTCTTCCCTTCCAACTGGGAGCGTGCTGCCCCTGCCCCAGAGGTAACATGTAGTCTTCAAGACCAATGCCCTTGACAGACCTGACCTCCAATCTCTTTTAAAGTCCTCCAAGTTAGTGGCCATCACCAGGTCTTGTGGGAATGAATTAGGTGCTTTGTGAGGAACATTTCTTCGCAAAGCACTTAATTGTTCCTTTTATGCGTTCTAAGCCTCCTCCCAATCAGCTTCCCTGGATGGCCCCGGAGAACCCCTTTCTCCAGGCCATGCATGCTTTTATGCCCCTCGACGATGCCTCCCTTCAGCTGAGTGTGCTTCAAGCCAGAGCCCCAGGCGCTCCGGCCTGTTCTCCTAGGGAAGGCTTTGGCGCCCCGGATCATCTCACTTGCCCCTTCTGCACTTTGTCCAGATCTCTTATAGCCTTTTTTCAAATGTGGCAACAAGAACTGCTGTAGAGGAATACGGAAATGGCCTTGAAGAAGGAATGCAGCAGCCGTTACAAAAACATGGGCGTAGTCCAGAAAGACAGGAGGGGGTGAGCAAGAAACTCAAGACTGGCCCACTTTGACTCTCTCCCTTATAAGAGGCAGAGGGAGAGGGAGAGAGGGAGATAATCTGTGATTATACTCCATAACAACAGAGTTCCAGTAATTCTGCTAGTGCCTGTCTCCTGACCTGGCCTACCTCAAAGGGCTGATGACTGTGTGTAGTTCTCCCACTGCTGATGCACCACAGATCTGTGTAATAGCATTACAATCTTGGCATTTTTGATTCCCTTTCCTAGAGATCCTTGGCAAAGAATCTGCCCTGTGCACAGCTGCCACCCTCTTTGCTGCGCACTCCCGAAGATCTTCTACCTGGTTATTTACAGCAGGGCAGTCTCCTAGGGGAAGCTGAGGAGTGGGGGTGGGGGGTGAGGAAGCAGCTTGCTCCTCATGGGGGGATGAGAATTTGGGGCTCCCCCCACACGCATGGCCTTTGGCTCGGCAGCGGCAGCAATCAGGGAGTGCTGACTTCCTCCCCATCTGCCCCCTCCCACTGGAGCTGCTTGTCTACAGTGCCATCCCATGAAACTCTGAGCCAGAGCACAACAGGGTAGCTGTGGCCTCCCCCAAATCAGAAGCTGCTTTTTTCTTGTTCCTTTTAGCAAGATCTCCTTGCAGAGGAGAGCTTCAGCCCTGACTTCCACATCCCTAGGGAACTGGGGAGTGGCCCCGCATCTTCCGTTCCTTAGGTCAACTCTGACCAGAACTTTTGGACAAAAGTGGCTTTGATTCTTGGCATTGAAGAAGGATGCCCTGGTGATTTATGGCAAATGCTGGCTACGGTTGCCTTGGTCTGTGAACAGCCCTCGAGGACATCGGTAAGCAAAACAAAACCGGCAGCACGCAAAAACCAATATGGGATTACCCAGCACTTATGCTGCAAACCACAATCATAAAAGAACCCTGAAGATCAATTCTGGCAACCCAGCGACGGTTGTGAAGGCGGGGGAGGTAAATATTTGCAAGGCAATCCCCCCTCCCAATCAATCTCTGATCGCGCTAACAGAAGGTGCTGGGCCCCAGGAACCAGCCCCACTGAGACCCCTGGAGAAAAATGGCTCATCGGACCCGATGCTCTCAAGTGATTCTCTACCACAAATGAGTTCCCTCCTCGAGGGAGACGGCTCTTAACTCCCTGAACTTCCAGATGGCTCGTCGAAGGCACTGTCTGCTCTCCGACTACTCCTGCACTTGGAGTTCCACGCGCAGTCCTCGCCCCCCCAGCAGAGCCAGGCTTCCGCTCACACCTTCAGCTGCCGTCCTGCAGGTTCAGGTATCCTCCGTCCAATATTGACAAATGCACCGTAAGCGCCAGCAACGGTGAATGCGGGGGAAGAAAACTTTCTGCCAAAGGACACATTAAGGCTTTCACGGAGTTAGTTTACTAGTGTGAGAAGTGCGGGAGGACAGCAAGCTAGAAGGCTAAAAGCCACACGGAAAACAAAGGGAGTTTTAAAAGCAAAGAGTTTATTTTTAATTGTCTTTTAACTGCAGACATTAAAATAAAGGACAGGGCTCCGGGGCTGTCTTTTTGGTCGGCAATGGCGTGACCATAAACGATGCCTTTAATGTAGGTTTTGATATAGAGATCAAATTAGCTCTAATAAAAAGGGATAATAAAGCCCACTCTGATGCAAAACTCAACTCCTCCCAGCTGTCAAGGCTGAGCCATTACCAAGAGAAGCGCCGTTCTCATTTCAATTAACCTTGTTTGCACCCTGCTATGTCCATGCAAATAACAATAACATTAATGCAAAGCACTAGTGCGCTGCGGCCATATTAGGCAGCTCCGACTACGCGCGTGCCTTTCCGAGCCGGCAGCTAATGAACCCGAAACTCAACGTGAATTTCCAAATTGCTCACAACAGAATTTTGAAGCTCTATTAGGGAGAAAAATGCTGATTCTTGTCAAGTCCCTCAAGGGGAAAAGCTGTTGCAACAGCAGCCTGCCTCAGCCCAAACGCCAGCCTCCCACTAACCTTTGTCTCCAATCCCAGCCGTTGCGACGAGGGGTGGGAGGCCTCGGGCCCTGGGCCCGCTGAGACAGCCGCTCGGGATGAGGCCAGGGGCTGAAGGGCCCATGCCCCACAGGCTCCCTGTCTCCCTCTGGGTCTCCAGCTAGAGAAACCTTCAAGTAGCCCCCTCCCCAGAATTGGGATGATACCCAGCTCAGCAGGCCAAAGGGGCCAGGTTGGAGAAGGGGGACCAAGCCTTCTGGGGGGGCTGGGATCCTGTGACCTCGTCTACGTGGCACCTCAGGACTGCCTGTCCCTCGCAAGAGGTGGATTTTGTCCAAAGACGGCTAGTTCTTCTTTTACGATCTCAGTCATTTTGAGAGCCCTACAGAGATGAAGCTGTGGCCCTTCATTATAGATTGTGACTCTGGGGCAACAAAACCGCCTCCCCGCCAGCCAGATTTCCTGAGAGGGCCGATCTCCACGCCTGGACAACCTGGTGATTTGGATGGCTGGTGGCTTTTTAACAAGCTGGCCACCACTCTGGAAAGGTCCCGTGTTGCTTGCCAGAAGTGCTGGGTTCTACTCCTTCAACCCACCGCAGTCCGGGACACTGAACTGTGGGTGCAGAAGTGCACTGCACCTGTGGCCACCACACCAAGATAGTCTGAATCCATCAACCTCCCAAAGCCAACCTGGACAGTAATTGCTGGCTTGCTGACAATCCCAGAAACCCTCAGTCAAGGCCAAGCGATGGACGGCTCTCTCCTCTCCTCTCCTCTCCTCTCCTTCCCGTGAAAGAACTTCTCGTTCAAAGGCACTCCGTTCTGCGGCGTGTCCCCAGTTGAGACCCCACAGGAAAGAGACTCCTCTTTGCGGGAGCCCTCCAAGCTCACCCCTCCACTGGCTGTTTTCACCCCCGGATCAGCACCACCCAGCTGATACAGATACAAAAGCCCTGGGCTTGGAAAGTGGAAAGACTCATGACGAAGCACCTCTGGCATCTGTTCCCCGGGCCTAAGTCTAGGAGGCAGACTACTAGGACTGTTTTTTTATTCCCCTACGGTTGGTGAAAACTCACAGCTCCGGACAGGAGGCTTAAGAGGATGATCTCTGCTCCCTTTCTCAGCAGCCCAAGGACCTGCCACAAGCAGAACTATGCCAGCTCCCTTCCTGCCACGCCGCTTGGAGGCCAGGCTTGACGCACGTCTCGGCCCACTCAAGCAAAGAGAGGCTCGGCTGGGAGGAGCAGCCAGCCCCAAGCTCAAGACCTGGCCCCCTCGGGAGAAGAGAACCTGGTTTACGCCCACTGATTAGGAAAGAAACATACAATCGAAGCGCATTATCTCACAATAGGTCCAGCAGGCAAATTCTGCCTCAGGTGGTGGCTGGGAGGCAGAAGAGTAACCTGGATAAAATGCCGGGTCCATCTCCTGCGCCCCACACTGCATGGGAAAGGTGCCTTTCGAGAAGCGGCTCATCTGGAGACGGGGGCGTCCAGGTTTGCAGAAACATCCAAACGTAGCCGGAGCTACTTTTTCTGCAGGAGGAATTAACTCACCAGCTGCTTTCTTTCAGCTGCAGTTTGATAAATGAGGCTGACGCCACCTTTCCTGGTAATCACCAGGTTAACAGGAAGCTACAGGAGCAAGTGCAGAAGTCACCCCTTGCTGCGGGCAGCCGGCTCTCCCTCGGCTATAAATCACCAGCAACGGGCTCTCACCTACGCCCAGGCAGCTCTCTCGACTCGTCTGACCAAATCCCAGGCAGACGCTCCAAACTGAATAGGGGAAGCAAAGGCGCCCCTTTTCTGCTTGCCGGTTAACGCATTCAGGGCACCAGAAGAAGGCCTCAGGGTTGGATCACCCTGTGCTAGAAAAGCAAAGGAAATTCTGCCTCCTTTCACAAAGCTGCACAAGGGAAAGAATTCTGCAGCTTGCATATATTATTCATGTAACTGTGCCCTTTGTCACAGCAAAAGGCGACGCCCCAGCCCACCCCCAAGCTAAGGTTAAATCTAGATAGGAGAATACCAGGAAATTCCAAGGCTAAACTGGGAAGTCCAAATACATCCTGGGAGAAGGCAGTGGCCAGCCACCTCCATAAGGCTGCTACAAAAAGAACACGGATATATAGCACATCCCCTCTCCAGAAATTATATGGAGACCCTCCGCCTCCTTCTAAGATTTAAGCAGACTTAAATCTTTTCCTGCTTTTTCAGGAACCTGCACTATTAGCGCCCCACCCAACCAGCCTTGAAGGAACTTAACCAGCTGCTCCATTTCAGCAGCTCTGGGCAAGAAACAGTTTCTCATCATGGCCAGCACATCTGGCCAGCTTTACCTGGTGGGTCAGCAGCTGTGCAGACCGAGCTGAGACCTTCTCAGCCTGCTTGGAGGGAGGGAGGGAGGGAGGGAGGTTGCCCCAAAGACCTGCCAATTGCCCTTGCCTGGACAGCTTTGAATCCTTGCCGTCCATCACAAGGCCTGGGTGGTGCAAGAAACTTTGGGTCCTCTTTTTGCTAATGTGAACCTGTCTATCATGCAGGGTTTTGGTTCCTGCAAGATGCACGTTCTTAGAACATCTTCAGGATTTTGATGAACAGAATGCATTGTTATACATCTTTTTTTCTTTTTAGCAAAATCTCACCCTTTGATTTCAGAATACGGTAGCTGAGATCCTGGAATCAATTTCCAGAATGCTGAGTTTGGAGCGTGTTCTTCAAACTGGGGGTTTTTGCATGGCAAAGCAATCAAGGCACAAGGTGCAAATCAGCACGGGGGTGTGCCTGTGTGTGTGAGCATGCCTGGGTTAGCCAGCGCCTCGGCTGCTCTAGTCCTACTGAAGCGGGAGGCAGCCTCAGGTGCTGCCAAGTGGCACCCAGCTTAATGTGCTAAAGCACCAATACATCAAGTCGGCGCAAGAGACACACTCTGCTCTCATTAGGGGAAGTGGCCCTGTAACGAGTCGGAACAGCTTTGTCAAGTGATGTCCAAATGAATGAGATTAGCAACTGTCAGAAACATCACCCCTCCCTGCAAAAGCTGCCTCCACAGAGTGGCTCAGTGACCAAGACAAACCAACCTTATCCTTTGAAACCTTGTGTGCAAAGGGACATGTCCCATCCGTCTTCTTGCACGTGCCACGGAGGAATCTGTCAAGAGACCACAGAGAGGGTTGACTTAGGAGACGTAGAGAGTGAGAAAGGTATCTGAGGGGGATACGCAGACTCCATTGCCTAGGCAAAAGGGGCTGAAAAGGGTTTATTTTTAAAAAGTCCAGAACGTCCAGATAACATTTGGAAGTGGCTCAGACAGACGCCTCCCTAACTCACCAGAGAACGAGGAGGAGGAGGAGGAGAAGATACGGCACAGTCAGACCTGCAAAATTATGCTATTACAGCCACTCTCAGTAAAAATCAGTTTTAGCCTTCCTGTGGAGTGGATTTCATAGTCTGGTCCACCTCGTGGGGCCGACAGGAGGTCTGTACAGAAGATCTGATTTGGGGAAACATTTGCTGGAAAGGATTTTACCCACCTCCATAATAAATTCAAGTCACACATTTCGCCTATTCCCCGTATGGTTTCCTTCACCATCCTCTTCAGGGTGACTGCAAGGTGTAGTCAGAAAAAGTCAAGATGGTGGCCGTGATGGTGGGATTGAAGCTCCGCCTTTACATCTGCGTGTGACGCATGCACATTAAAAACAGGCGGGGCTCCAATCCCACCATCGTGGCTGCCATCTTGACTTTTTTGACCAAATTTCATGGACATCCCTGATCCTGCTGGAGACTTAGATGCCTTGATTCTATGCCATTTCAGTTGATAATCTGGGTAACTTAAAATTAACTTCTTTTGTCTTGGGCCACAACAGATTTGAAACAACCACAAGTGGCAAGACCTGGGGCGTGGGAGGCGCTCTGATTAAGAGAACAGCACAGATCCCAGTTCATGCTACTGGCAAAGCATGTTTCAGGATTATACATGACAGCCTTCCTCTCGCAGTGGGGTTCAACTTCCATCCTCCTCCTTGGGCATGGGCATTGTCCAGGGATGACAGGCTTTGTTCTCTGCTGGAGGCCAGGTTGGAGGAGACTAGACCTCGCATTTACCGTCCCCAGACCGCCCATGAAGGCAGATTGGCCTTCATCCACTTGGCCTCGCTGCAGTCCACCTCTCCCTGAGTTGCTGCTGGCACGATCAGTGCCTGGAATGAACCGCGAGGAGGTTGGTGAAGAAGGAAGGGGCACACCTCCTCCTTTTTAGAAAGAGGAAGTCACGGACAGACCGTGTTGCAGGATTCGCCTGGAGCCTGTCTGCGGCCAAGAGAAAGGGCCGTTCCTGCTGGATCCAGACCAGTGTTTCATCTCTGCACGCTCTTTAGGCTAAGAGAACCAGTTGCAAATGACTTTTTAAAAAACTAAAATTTATTAAGGATCTAGATGATGTTTTAGCAGGTATGTTTCTAAAAACTCCTCTTCAGGCTGCCCCCTCTAATTTTTGGCGCTGCTGGCAGAAAGGGGATGGAGAGGAAAAACGGAAGAGACCTGGTGCAGACAGCTACTTTCTCGGGATCATGGATGTAAGGACAGCTCTCCCCGCGATTGCATTTCCCGAAGCGGTTGTAGTACATGCAGTATTCCTTCTTCCTGTCCTTCCTCTGCTTGGCCTGGCGAATGATGGCCAGACTCCGCTGCACGGCGCGGCTGGGGGGGGGGGGGGGGG